ATGAAGTAGCAGAAAGAGAAATTAAGAAAAACAATCCCATTTACAATTGTACTTCCCCAAAATTAAATACCTAGGAATAAATTTAACCAGGGAAGAAAAGGACCTATACTCTGAAAACTAGGACACTGATGAAAGAAGTTAAGGATGACACAAACAAATGAAAAGAGATTATATGTTCATGGTTTGGAAGAATTAATATCACAGTGTTCCTACCACCCAAAGCAATCTACAGATTCAGTGCAATCCCTATCAAAATACCAAAATTTTATCAAAATCCTAAAATTTGCATGAAACCACAGAAGAGCCCAAATAGCCAAAGCAATCTTGAGAAAGAGCAAAGGTATCATGGTCTCAGATTTCAAGATCTACTATAAAGCTACTAATCAAAATGGTATGGTTCTGCCACAAAACCAGACACAAAGATTGATGCAACAGGATAGAGAGCCCAGAAATGAACTCATGCCTATATTAGCAATTAATCTACAACAAAGGAGTAAAAATATATGATGGGGAGAATAATCTTTTCAATAGGTGGTGTTGGGAAAACTGGTCAGTTACACGCATAAGAATGAAATTGGACCATGTTCTCCCACCATATAAAAACATAAACTCAAAATGGATTAAAAACCTAAATGTGAGGCCTGAAACCATGAAACGCCTAAAAGAAAACATGGGCAGTGATCTCTTGGACATTGTCCTTAGCAACCTATTTATGGATGTCTCCACGGGCAAGGGAACGAAAGCAAATGTGAACCACTGAGACTACATCAAAATAAAAAGCTTTTGCATGGCAAAGGAAACCATCAACAAAACAAAAAGGCAACCTACGGGATGGGAGAAGATACATGCAAATGATATATCTGATAAGGGGTTAATACGCAAAATATATAAAGAACACATACAGCTCAAAACCAAGAAAAACAAACCAACTGATTAAAAAGTGTGCAGAAGCCTGGGATAGACATTCTTCCAAAAGAAGACATCCAGATGGCCAAAAGACACATGAGAAGATGGTCAACATCACTAAACAGCAGGGAAATGCAAATCAAAATCACAATGAGATGCTACCTCACACCTGTCAGACTGTCTAGTATCAGAAAGACAAGAAATAACAAGTGTTGGTGAGAATGTGGAGAAAAGTGCACCCTGCCTACAGTGATCGGAATATAAATTGGTGTAGCCACTGCGAAAAACAGTATGGAGTTTCCTCAAAAAAAAAAAAAAAAAAAAAAAAAAGAAAAGAAAAGAAAGACATATCATATGATCCAATAATTCCACTTCTGGCTATCTACCTGAAGAAAATTAAAACACTAATTTAAAAACTAATTTAAAAAGATCCATGCACCCCTATGTTTACTGTAGCATTATTTACAATAACCAAGTTATGGAGGCAGCTCAAGTGTCCACTGATACATCTATCAACAGAAAGCTTTTCCCTTTAGGGAGAAGACACGATGTGCATTCACACACGCACGTATATACACTATAGAATATTACACAGCCATAAGAGAGAATGAGATCTTGCCATTTATGATGGCATGGATGGACCTAGATGGTATCGTGCTAAGAGAAATAAGTCTGACAGACAAAGACAAGTACCATGGATTTCACTTACATGTGAGCTCTAAGATAAGAAGCCTGTCACACATTTTCCAGAAGGTGCGGTGTGGAGGAGAGCATTTGCTATTCGCGGATGAGACCAATAAAGCTTTAACTGGTGAGCCCTCTAGGGTGTTACTGGAGTCCAGCTAAGATGGTACAGGGTGACCAGCTGCCCTGATAAGTTGGGCCAGACTTTTGGGTATCTTACATATTTACACACTTACATGCATTACTCTGACAAGGAGTCAGAAGCATTTGCCAGCACACTGAAAGTGTCCACAACACAGAAAAGTTAAAGAACCTCCCATCCTAGAAGGTTGGGGCTTATGGTTACTTCCAGTTTAGATCCTGCCTTCATGCAGCAAGAACTAGAGGCCCTTAAGATGAAGAAATGATACAGCAGGACATGGTCAGAAGGGTCCAAAAGCAGGTGTGGAGGGGGAAGTGGGGAGGGCAGAGGAGGGGGCAGGTCAGGGAGGTCAGGATCTCAGTGAGAACTAAAGGTAAGTTATATTCTGTTGCATTTAGTTCTCAGCTTCCTGACAATCAGGACACCCAAACGGGCCCGATCCTGCAGGTCCCATCATATGAAAAGAGGAAGCATCAGAACTGCCTGACATTGAACTCTTGAGAGAAACTGGATATGAAGACCTTTTCATTGACACATCACCTGACCATCTCAGAGGCCGCTGTCACACCAGGCTGATGTCAGGACCATCCCAGAGTTCCTCCCAAAGCTGCTAGGAGCTCAGCAGGAGGGACCCTGGGAGCTGAGGAGGGCTCTACACACAGGGCTCTCCCACCAGCACCCACCACCTCTCACCGTCCGGCCTCCCTGCACTTTGCATCCTCCCTCCAGGGTCTGAGGCCTGAATGTTGGGAATCCTGAGTTGGGGGAGGACAGAAGCCAGGTGGGACCAACCAAAGCAGGCCTCCTTAGCCACTGGCCACAGGGAGAGGGAGCAGAGGGCCTCACTCACAGCCACGCTGAAAGCTGCAGCTGAGCGCTTGCTACTAGGTGAACGTGGGCAGAGAGCCTGCGGGCTCCACTCGCCCTGTCCACACTTCCAGCGCTGGCTCAGCGCACACTTCCCAGGAGCCCTCGGCGCCTCGGACACACGGGTCCCACACTCACATCCTCCTGAGTGTTAGCCGAGCACTGTCAGCTTCCTCTTCTCCTCCACTGGCCCCTCGCAACCAGTCCCCAATCCCGGGTTTCATGATCATCAACCTCAAGCCATGATCCTAATTAAACAAATTAAAAAAACACATCTCTTCCCCCACAAAGAGGTGGCTGTTACTTTAGTTTGACTAAGAACTAGTCAACCAAGTGGAATGAGGGACCCTGGCCCTTTTAAAGAGAGTGATAGTTGGGCACCTGGGTAGTTCAGTGGGTTAAAGCCTCTGCCTTCAGCTCAGGTCATGATCTCGGGGTCCTGGGATCAAGTCCCACATCGGGCTCTCTGCTCAGCAGGGAGCCTGCTTCCGCCTCTCTGCCTACTTGTGATCTCTCTCTCTCTCTGTCAAATATAAAAATATAAATACTCTTTTTTTAAAAAAAGAGAAATAGACTCAAATCATAATTTGTTTAAAATATATATATATATATATATATATATATATATATGCATAGAAAAAAGTGTGTCATAAACAAAAAGCTGGAGTACTTACCCTCCTTGGTATGATTATAAAAGATTCTCTCTTTATGGTTTATTTTCCATCTTTGCGCTGTATTACTTTTGCAATTAGAAAAGTTCAAAATCAGTTAATACAAGTTAAGTACCATTTGGAAATCGGTATAGTTAATCACTATAGATGAATTACAACGCAAATAACCCCCACCCCTCCTTCTTTCCAAGTGCATCCCTAACCATGTTTCCAGATAGGAGGAAAGACTTTTCCAGAGACTGCCAGGTGCTCTTTTGCAAGTCCCTTTGCCATCTTTAGAACTCCTGTGTGCGTCCAAGCACTCGCAGGAAGGGCAGTGCCAGTCCACCCACGGTGTGAGAGCCCCCACAGTCCACCTCCAGCTCCTGCTCCATTCCTGGTGTCCATGGAGGAGTGCTGGTGGTGACCGGTGTGTGTTGGGGGAGGGAGGGGGTTGCTAGCATGGACAAACGGCTAAGGAAGGGAAGAGAGGAACAGGTTGGGTCAGAATCTCAGGAGGCAGGTCTCCCAACAGCTAGTCCCCGGAGCCTCCAGCAGAGGGCAGCAGGGCACTGTGAGCAGCTGGTTGGGGGCGCGGTGCGTGTCACAGATAAATTCCTCGGAACTTCTGTCGGGTGGACGGCAGGGGCCAAGAATCCTTCAGAGCCTGCGGCTCGGGTACTGCGTGCCCTCATAGAGCTGCCTGATAGAAAATAAGCCTGCAAACAAGTAATGATTTGTCTCCAGGAAACCCACAAACAGAAGACAAATCCAGTTTCTTTCAAAACCGTATTTTTCTTAATTTAGTCTCAAAGTCACCTTTTTATCTGTTTTATATATTTCCTTACATTTGGCTTTATTACAATGAAGGTTTTAAGGCAGCTGCACCAGGTCACGAGGTCTCGGTTTCATCCTAATTACACAGGACGGAGGGAAATCAGAATCCGTCCGTATTTGCCCCAGGTGAGAGGCCTTATTTACTGACAGGCACTTGTCTCCATATTTGCCCAAAGGAAGGAAGGGGCATCGGTCCAAAGCCGGGGACAGATAGATTTGGAATGAAGGCCTAGCAGCCTAGACGTGGTGCTAAAAACAGAAAACCGGATTAGTGACAGAGATTTTATCAGAGCCAGAAGGTATTAGACGCCCAGCCCTCAGGTGGGGGTGAAACCTGTGCCTCAGGACCGGCTTGTCATTAGCTAATGTCCTGACCTTTGGGTGGGTGGATGGGAACAGGAGGACAGGATCAGAGAATTTGTCGGGTCCCTTCCATCTCAGATAGGGGAACCTAAGAGCACTAAAGGGACCTGTAGGAAAACACACTAAAATGGTTTTTGTGCTCTGGGCCTAGCTGGAAGATGGGAGTTGATTGGGGAAGGCACTGGAAGGGAACTGCTCTCCATGTGGAATGTGGGTGGAAGTCACATCTTGACCTTTCTTCATGGGCACAATCCATTTCCAGCCTCAGGACCTTGGAACAGGGCAGGCAGGCTGGTGGGGTGGTTTTCAGAGTTTCTAGTGTGGAGCTCTTTCTTTACACCAGAACTGGGAGGGTCGTAAGGTACAGACTTAGCTCTTCCTTGAGCATACCATTGAGCCCTGTTTGAAGAGCCCTGGTCTAGAACAGTGGACTGGCTTGTGTTGGGTCCCCTGAGGAAGGACACAGCCTTTTCAACCCCCACCGGGATACCACTTAAGACCACTTCAGATAGGAATAGGGGCATCACAGAGAATGTCAGGCAAACACAGAATTTTTTGGTTTTAATCTTTACTTTCAATCCCAAACTTTCCCCCTTTCATTACAAAAGTACTAAACGAACATGGACAGAATTGGAAAACTGACATTTGCAACTCTATGCCTTCAGGAGGCATCTCGATAATCCCACCACCAACATCCCTGTGCAAGGATAGATCAGGCAGACAGTTTGCGGCAATGAGAACTATACCATAAATGCACGATCTTTTTATTTCATATAAAAATGATCAACACGAGAAAAGCCAGAGCGTGTGTTGGTTTTGCACACTCCAATGCTCCCAAGAGCCTTCTCCTCTGGCCAGACTGGAGGATCAGCCCTCCCGGAAGGGAGAGGTGGCCTAGGCCCCCAGCTGTGCTTGGAGACGGTGAGCTTGCTGTTGTGCAGAAAGCTGAAAGCGCCAAGGTCCCAGGCCTTTTCCTGGGCTTGGAGGGGTGGCTGCCTGTTGTGGCTGTGGCCTGGCAGCGGGGCAGCACACTGGCCACCTTCCGGTGCAGGGAGTAGGCTCCCGGCCCAGGTTCACGGGAAGCTGTCTGTGCTTGTCCCTCCAGGGGGCCATGATCCAGCTGAGCGGCTGTCCAAGGCCAATCAGTCTGACTTTTCATCAGCCCCCTCTGGCCCTCTGAGGAGCTGTCAGTCCACTGTGCCATTGTAGGATTTGTTGAACTTGTTGAAGGTGAAATCCACGGTGTGTGTGGAGATGGGCTTTCTGTACAGAGGGTTGGAAGCCTAGAGAACACAGAAGGCAAGAGGACATGGGTGTCCATTCATTCGAACACACATATTCAGGGTTCCAGACCCTTCTTCAATCCATCACCCTGGAAGGCGGCAGCCTGAGCATGCAGGCGGTGACAGCCCTGTGTGGCCACTGACTATCGCACCCTGGGAAAGACCCTCCAGGTCTCAGAGCTTCTACTCTTTATCTCTGAAACAAGGGGCCGGACCAGATGATCTCTGAAGTCCCTTCCAATTTAAACAGAGACTAACTAGGGGTCCAGGGATGCTCACTGCACTCAGTTCTATGGGAAAGCGCAGTCTGCCTGGGGAGACGAGACTTGCACAACAGACGCCGCAGCGGACTCCAAGGACGTGAGGTCCTTTACCGAGTCTGCGGTCTCTCGAGGACCATCCAGCTTCTTCCTGCCGAGGCTGTGCCACGCCTCTGCCTCTGCTCTATGAGGGTCCTAAGCTGGGTCTGCTGTGGGGCTCTGCACAGGGCCCCCCGCGCTCCAGGGTCCTGTGTTCTCACCATCCCTACCTGGCCACACACCACCTCCCAGGTGTTGTTTCTTTGATTTGAATGCCAAAGATGTTAGGGGGCTTTAAAGCTTGTGTGACCTCAACCAGACCTCGAAGCTCAACTTTTTCTCTACTACTAGCATCCCGCTGGCTTACCATCTCATAGCGGGCCCTGGACCGCTCGCTCTGGAACTTTGCAAACTCTCTCCGGTCATGGATGGTGACAAGTAGCTTCCAGATGGCCAGGAGCGCAATCCCAATCAGGAGGATACTGCCCACCACGGCCAGGAGGATGGTTGTGGCATCGGGGGCAGTTCCACACTCTGGAAGGGACCAGGAGGCGGGGTGAGCAGAGCCACCAGGAAAGCATGGCCACCCATGCCACCCCACCCCCATCCCCAGCGAGCCCCCTCGCTCCCACAGGCCGTGTGCCTCCTGTGCTCAGCAGCATCTCCCCCCGCCTGAGTGCCCAGGCTTGGCCCGGCCCGGTCTCCACTCTCGAGACTGGACCGGTCTGGTCCCGGCCTTCCTGTGAATGGTTTCAGAGCAGACCCGGCAGGCGGCAGACCCGGCAGGCGGCCGACTGCACGAAGCCGAAGCCGCATCCACGAGGGCGGGGCGGCGGGCCAGCCAACAGTTGTAAGCCCTTAGGGTGGCCCTTCGCAGCAGCGAATGTGCTTATTTTCAAAGGACCGCAAAGACAGCGCTTGAAGACAAAGCCTCATTCTTGCAGGCCTGCATCCTGGGCACAGCATTTCCTCTGCCGCCGGCCCTGAGAAGCCACATTATGTGGTGTGGCTCAATTTGGAAAAACAGTTTGCCATGCTGTAAATTGAAGGGAGCAGCTCTTTTTCTCCTCACCCCTGCCCCCCTTCCAGAGAAGAATAAAAGGGGTCATACTAGAATCCCTGATTACTCCAAAACAAAAGGCCATTGGTCCCTGGGTCCAAAGCAGGAGGCAGAATTATCATTGTTTCAACAAAGTCTGGGCCTCCTTAGGGGCCGTGGAGCGGAGCAGGGCCATGTAACCCAGAGCTCTGATGGCGGGTCTTGGACGGAAAAGTGTAGCGACAGGGTGTGGACTCTGAAGCTCCCTGAGGCAAGTGCGGCCCGCCCAGCCCTGACTGTCTACACCCGCCCTGCCCCCCACCTCTGGTGAAATGCGTGCCATGGCCTCTTTTCCTCCCAACGCTCCGGCTCCTCCAAGATGAGACACTCTAGCTCCCATGCCTCCAGACCGTGACCTTGAGCCCCAACCACAGTGGGTCCCCAGGCGCAGGCCCACCTCTCTGCCAAACTCTAGGAGCTGGATAGGGGCAGCCTTAGCCCCTGGTCTTTATGAGAAATCGTGACCGTCCTCTCTGGGCAGTTTGGAGAGGCAGGGAGGGCAGAGGGCGACAAGCCCAGAGCAGGGAAAGGAGTTAGAAGCCGAGCTCCCCGCCGGTCAGACCCACCTGGCTCCCTGAGGACGGTCAGGTTGGACTTGCCGCTGGCGAGCTCCGCGTAGGTGAACATCATGACACAGTCCTTGGCGGTTTTGTAGAAACAAAGCACAGCCTCTTGGTCATCTTTCACTGGAAGAAAACCGGGCACAAGTGTCTGCTCTGAGCGACCCAGTGTGCTGACCAAGGGCAGGGAGCCGAGCACCTCGGTTAAGCAAGCGGGTGCCGAGACACATAAAGGGGAGGCTGGGCCTTTACGAGGAGCTGGGGTATCTCCCATCAAGGATGCAGCCCCAGCGAGGAGTGTGGGTTGCTCCGGGAACATGAATCCCCCGGGGTGCGAGCAGTCTCTGGGGAGTGGGAGAGAGGCTCTGCCAACCTCCCCCATGCGGGCAGGACAGGAAGCAGGGGGAGCACTGGTGTGCTGCTCCGGGCTGAGGCTGGGACGTGGAACTGCCCTGGACGTGAAAAGGACACAGAAAGGAAAGGGCCATCCCGATGCCCTTCGAGCCCAGGCAAGAGCTCATAGTCGAGTGTACCTGGCTGAGAGCCCGCTGCGGTGGCTGAGCGTCCGTGGCTCTGTTCTAGGACGGAAACCCACAGCGACCACAGAGGGTGATGAGGACGTTCGGACAAGGGTGCTGCGGGCCAGCGCCGGAGGCCAGGATGGGGTCTGGACACCACTCGCAGGGCTCCTCCACAGGGAGCAGCCCCAGCCTGGCCCCACACAGCTGTTCCCCTGACACGACAGAGTCCCAGCCCCCTGTCCAGGCATCACCCGCACTCCAAGGCTTCTGTGGGCAAGGGTCACACTGATTTCTAGGAGGGAAAGGGAGTAGGGAAGGGAAAGGGGACATTCAGTAGCAATGGCCAGTCAGTCCTGAGCAACTGCGGCGGGTTGAGGCAGCTGCGTGAGATGCCTTTCGGCTCTTGCCTTCGCAACCCTACTGCTCTCACCGGTTTTTAACCGGGAACCAGACCAGTCAGTGTGGTCGTCAAAAGTGAGGGCCTGGACCATTCTCCCAGCCCCACTACCTGTAAGCCTGGCTGAGTGCACGTGTGTGTGAGAAAAGCCAGGAGAGGGAAGGATACACAGTCCACCTGAGTGGACACCTTCTCATGGAGGATTTTACTGAGAAGTCGCAACCGCCCCAGAGCAGGTGCGTCAGGCAGGGGCCCCAGGAAGGTGGGGCCTTGTCCTTCCAGCCTCTGTGTCTGGGTGGGGGCCCCTGCTGCTCCAGGTGCACGGGCAGACTGCGCTGGGAGCCAAGCCTTCGCAGCAAGCAGAAAAATGCAGCGGCAGGAAGACAGTGTGAGCCTGGGCTCTGCATGGGCCCCGCTGGTCTAGCGCAAGCCCCAGCATACAGCAGTGCTCAACGAGCCAGGGCCAGCTAAGTGCACAACTCCGTGTCCTCAGGAGCTAGGATATAGCCACAGCGGTCAGTCGGAACCACGGGGGCAGGAACGAGGGAGGCCATGCATTGGGGCCAAGATGGGAGGCTGGAGCCAGGAGCCCGCAGCAGCTGAGGTCAAGCGAGGCTGCCACGCAAGGGGGCCTCAGAGGCAGAACCCCTGTCGAGGTACACAGTCTTGTCCCCTCGCCCCACTGTTTTAGGTACAATTCAGTCATTTGAGTATGCTGACAATGTATCACTACTCTCACCATCTAATTCCAGAACATTTCTGTTACCTCCAAGAGAAACCCTTGCTGTCAGCAGTCAGTCTCAATCCCTGTCTCTCCCCAGCCTCTAGCAACCACCGACCTACTTTCCGTCTCTGTGCTTTTGCCTATTTTGGACATTTCACATAAATGGAATCACCCGATATATGTCCTTTTCTGTCTGGCTTCTCACGCACAGCATAGTACCTGGAAGATTTGTCTCTGTAGCACGTATCAGAACCCCACACCGTCTTCCCCTGGATGAATGTAGCACATTAGCTTCCCCTCGGCTCACGGACACTTGGGTTGTTTCAAACTTTTGACTACTATGAATAATGCTGCTATGAGCATTCATGCCCAAGTTTTGGTTAACGTGTTGTCCGTTCTCCTGTGCATACACCCAGGAGCGATTCACTGAGCTGTGTGGTAACTGTTTAACCGGGGGAAGCCGCCGGACTTCTCCGAAGTCGTGCGCCATTTTACACCGCGGCCAGAACGTATGAGGGTTCCAACAGAGGGCTGCTTTGGTTTGTGTCATCACAGTGTTCCAGACCAGCTTCCAAGTCGGCCACGTGCACTCACGGCTCGCGGATGTGATCTGCATCTCTTACCCTTAGAGACTCTTAGCCGGGACAGCAACGGCTGTGCTGGAAAAGGGACGGAGGCAGCCCAGAGATGGTGGAAAGCAGAGGTCTGTGCACCCCCGTCTGAGCGTCCTGTGGGCTCCCACTCAGAAACGGACTCGTAGACATTGTCCAGAGGCAAAGGCACAGGGACGGATGGACAGAGTCAAACTGGAGTGGGTCAAATGAGAAAAAGCCTCAAACGAGAGCTGCCGTGCCAGAGAACAGAGCAAGGTGCGGTGAGAGCTGCAGGAACCGACGTCTGCCACGGGGACAAGAGCCAGGGCGGCACGTGGGCCCAGGTGCCATCTGGCCACATAAGAGCTCAGCCCCTTCTGAGGCCTTGCAGCATTGTGAGAGCTGCACCAGGCTGAGACCAAATGTGGCAGAGAGACCTGGTAGTCGTTCATCAAACACGGTTTCCCTGCCTCCTCGGCACACGACTTGACTACATTTCCCAGAGACTCTTGCAGCTTAAATGACGCCAGATGGCTGAGTTCTGGCCAGTGACATGCAGGTGGGAATCCCAGGCATCACTTCCAGGCCCAGCCCACAGAAGCATCTCACACGATCCTTCACTCTGTCTTCCCCCACAAGCTAATGAGTGGAGAGGATCCCAAAGACCCTGAGGAGAGTGGAACCTTCATACAGAGAGGGTCTGCATTCCAGAACGACCTCACAGAAGGCCTTGCCAACCAGGAATGTCTTCCGTGGACTCGCAGTGAAAGACTTACATTCTGTTAAGTCACTGAGGCCTGGGGTGTGTCTGTTACAGCAGCTAACACGGCTTGTCCTGACATACCTGCCGTTCAGAGAGCCTGAGAGATGTGGCTAGGAAGGGGCTGGACTCCAGGGATGGCACAGAAAGTGATGAACAAGGAGGTCGTACCTGCAGAGGGCCTGGAACTTACACCCTAGCACAGGCAGCCCAAGTCCTCTTGGGGAGCCCCCAGTAGCGCCCAGGACCCTGACGCTGTGGTTCCTAACCCAAGGCTAGAACTGCCCTGCTCCCCACCAGGCACCACTGAATCACCCCTGGGGGAGGAAGCTTTGAGTCGTCTGCCAAGATACAGAAGGGGATGGCAGCCCAGGGCCGCTGGGGCACACTCACCGATGGTGTCCACCCATGTGACCACCTCATCCTTGCACAGGTTGTGGCAGGTCTGGTTCTCAGCCGGGACCCCCGAGTGAAGCAGCAAGCACTCGACGCAGTCTCTTTGGAGAAGAGGGGATAAATGCAGGTGTTAGAGGCTGTGCAGTAGCCCCCCCACCAGCAGCCGAGCTCCCAGGGGTGTGTGGCCCGCCCTCCTGCCAGCCCTGGAGGCTCTAACTTTGTCCTAGCTTCACATTTTTGACCTAAGGGCTTCTGCTGGCCTCTGACTGCTTGTCACATGGGTGGCCGGAGGGTCCTCGGAGGAACACGTGTGAGTTTAGAAGCATGTCTGGCCTCCATGTTGAGTTGCAGGTTGGAGATCTCTTAAGTTCAGATAACCAGGAGCCCAACCCACTGCACTCTGCTGCATCTGATGCTGGCAAGCGTGTGCCCCAAGCAGAAGACATCACAGTGAGTAAGACATGGTGTTCTGGGCCTTGCACAGGGGACCTCACAACCCCTCAGCCAGAGCCTGCTGCCCCACATTGCCCCAGTTCCCACGATCGCAGGGCCCTCAACTCTCCTCTGCATTAGACTCTCCATGGGCCTTTCTAGAAAATCCTGCTTCTAGAGCATGCCTACACCCATGAGATCCACATCTCCGGGGCACAGTCTGGCTTCACAGTGAGGACGATGAAGCCCTGCCCAGGAGCCCCTCAGGCACTAGCCCCCTCTCCCTGCCTGCCTTTGAGCTGGGCTACACCCTGTGAGTTGGTCTACACTAGCCTCCAGTAGAAGCTACAGGGTCACAGCCTCCTCCCAGGAAACCTACATTTCAAGAGGGTCCTTCTGGAGAAATCAGGTTAGGAGCGAAAGAGAGACACTTTGAGCCCCTCTCCTCCCGTGTTGGGTGCAGTTTAAATTTGGGTGAAAATGCTTAACAACGGTGCTCAAGTAAGGGTCAGTTATCCTTCCCAGAGCCCAGCCCAGCTCCAGGTACTCCCCATCGACCTGTGGTTTACTGCGGGAGCAGACAACTCCTGAGAAGGCGGGGCCAGAGCAGCGAAGATTTGACCAAGGGCCTGTGAAGTCTGCCGTGGTGGGGTGGGGGGCGGTGGGACAGGGGAGCACAAACGGACCCCCAGGGAGGGGTGGTCTGGGGAAAAACAACCAGCTGACAGCGAATTCTCAGGGCCTTGGCGGGGAGCCCATGGTTCCTGGTGGCCTGTGAGGAAGGTGAGCGCCCCGGAAACGGGCTTCCTCAGGAGTCTGGGTGAGGGCCCAGGAGCCTAGAGTGCAGAGCGCAGGCAGGGACCCCACAGAGACCTGGAGGACGTGCCGCCCTGCTCACCCCACAGGCCCGTGGGGACCAACGAAGCTGTGTGTCCAGAAAGCTCTCTGGCAAAAACACAAGGATGTACAACCATCGTGCACAGCCTTCGTTATCATGATCTGTTTTTTTAATTCCTTGAGACTGAGGCCGGTGACTACATTCCCAGGGGAGAAACTTCAACAGGAGCACGGCAGGGGAAGGGAGTCGGAGAGAACCTCTCCAGGACCCTCTTCTCGTATGGGGAGTCGAGGGGGCCTGGGAGAAGTGGAGGCAGCGGGTCCAGCGCCCAGGGGCCCTGCTTCTCAGTGAGCCCCTCCCAAGTCCTCACTTTCCCAGGAACGACCTCATGGAAACCCTGCGGAGTTACAAACAAGTTGTACTGTTTGCATTTCCCCTGAGGCCAGAGTCCCAGAGGGCTGGCCACTAAGGCTGGGCTGGGGGCCAGGAAGCCTTGGTGTAGTTCGGCCTCCTGAATGAACATACTGCAAAAGCCCCCAGGCTGACCTTCCATCTCCACGAGGGTTCCCCGAGCCTTCCAGCTGCAACGCCAGTTGTCGTTAAACCACAGGGCCACGTCCAAGAAACATTCCCTAATTACCATGTGGACAGATCAGTCTAACTCGTATGCTCCACACACTGGGCTGAAACTTGCAATATACTGTAGTCACGTGTTAAAATAAGTCTGGCCTTTTAAACAAACAAGTTGCTGAGAGAGACTTTACTCTGAGAGCCTGTTAATTGAAATCAGCTGAGGCTGAGTGTGACCTCACCCAAGGTGAAGGGTATGTTTGGTTAGTGCTAGAAAGTGGAGATTGGCTGTTCTGAAACCCTGGGGCAGGGAGAGGGGAAGACAGAAGGCATTCAAAACCTGGTGGTTCCTGGCAAAACAGCAAGTAGAAAAACAGCCTGCTGCAAGTCACTATCAAAGGGAATTTGTTTAAAACAACAGTTGCAGTTGGGCAGAGAAAAGAGACAGAAGGTCAGTGCGGCCCAGAGATAAAGGAACGGTAGCTTCCTTACAGCATCTCCCTGCTCTCCCTGTTGCTCTGGTATTACTTAATGGAGAAGAAATTATCAAGTGCTATGTTTTCTAGGTCTTAAATATTTGCAGCTTGGGATGTGCCATTTTGACAAAAGTGAAGGCTGTTGGGCCTTTTAATTGACTTCTGGCAAACCTATACTGCCTTGTGGCTCCAGAGGAAAGAAATGGGCTTTATCTACTTTTATTGATTCCATGTGTGTTGTCCTCGTTTGCCCCGCCCCCTTCCTCTCGGGTGCCCCAAGGACAAGGAGCACACAACTGATAGAGTTCTGCCGCAGGGAGCTGGGGGAGGGCCCCTCCTGCCCCCACCATCCCATGCGGGTCATGGCTGTGGCTCCAGGCGCAGAGGGACACAGCCATTCGGGCTCCAGATCCAGGATCCTACCCTTGTCCCCTGGGAGGTGTCTGTTGGGATTTCTGTTATTTCTCCACCCGTACCAGGTCTAAAGTAGATCTGTTTTTCTTCTCCCTTACTCTCCCCCGCTCTTCTCCAGTTACACAAAATAAATCTGACCCTGTCTATCTTGTCTCTCGATCTGCAGCCAGCTTTCAATTACCCATGCCTGGATTATTTGAGGCAAATGTCCAAGCAGGGGTTCTGACACCCAGAACATTTCGGAGTGAGGACTGCCCAGCAGCCACAGCAAGCTCACAGAGCATGAACTCCTTCCATTATCAGCCTAAGCCAGACATTTGGAGAGGAAATCTGCCAAAAGAAAATTGCACAGTTGCGTTCCCCAGCCAAAGAGAGATGATGTCTGTATTATTATTTGTTTCTGATTATCTGTGCCCGTTTCCCTCACTTGAGGCCCCTTAGCATGGGTGGTGCTGACACAGCTGTTTTTTTCTAGCAAAATTCAAGAGAAACGGTCACTCTTGCTTTCCTGATGGCATAGCTCCTCAATCCCTTTAATTCCCACACATTCACACTCTGGCAGAGGGTGAAGGGCACAGCCACCGGGAGGTCAGCCTGGGGAACGTGACCCTGTGGCCAAGGCAGCAGGGGCCGGGTGCCCACTGTCCGGACAATCTCTGCATTCAGCAGCAGCACAGGGCCCCGTGTTCCATTATCTCTATAAATGGAGCAGAAAATTCACAAGCCATTGTGGTTTGTTGCTGGCAGGCCTTATCTAGGTCACATGCCCTCCTACCCAATCTACCTTCTGATTATGTTTTGTTCAAAGCTGCATTTGCCAAACAGGCATCCTGTGAAACATTATTTGGGAAATGTTAATGTCAGGGAGGGGATCAAACTCGTTGGAAAACCAGACGTGTCCTAAAGGCCCTTCTGAAAAACTCAGTAACACTCGAATGGCTCTGAGAAGCCACTATTTTGGTACCAAAACCGGTTTAATTCAACTCAGTGATCTGGTAACTTCTAAATTTGGGAATAGAATAGCAGTTTTTGTTGTTGTTGTTGTCCTGTTTTTATTACCTTACAAAATCCCCATGGAACCAGCATTTCAAGAACACTATTTTACTATATAGTGTAGTTAACACCGAGTTACAGTTCTTGTTTGTAAGAGTCTCGCTCCCCAGCACGACTAGGCAAAGGAAGATGTGGGGGATGGGAGGAAGAGGCTGGCCAGCCCCAGGGCCCAATGGGCTGGAAGACAGGCCTCGTCTGGGGGGAAGAAGCGGGAGTGAGAGTGCCGTTACCTCTTGGTGCTGCAAGCATCTGGGCAGGTCGGGCACTTCTCACATGTCTCTCCAAAGGCTCCTGGCTCTGTGCACTGGCACTGCCCACACACACAGTGCCCACGGTCGCTGCACATCTGGCCATCTTTGGCCAAGCATGTGCTGATGTCTGTCGAGCAGTTACAGTTGTCCCCAATGTAACCTGCATGGCACTTGCATTCTCCACAGTGACACTCGCCATGGCCTAAAGGGACACACATAGCATGTCAGCACCTGCCTGCACAAACCCCAAACCCACCACCTGGGGCCTGCCATGGGCCAGGACCACGGATGGTATTCTGCAGCACTGTTTGGGCACACAGGGCCCAGTGCCCACAGGCTTCGGCAGCCGGGGTCCAGGCAGCATGTGCGGCCCAGCCAGGCCTGGGGCAGTGCTGCCCGCTGGTTCAGAATTTGGCCAAGGGACGCCACAGGACCAGGACCCCAGGAAGCTTCTTCGTGTCTCAAATGTCGTGTAAAGAACAGCCACCAAATAGGTCCATGTCCTAATCCCCAGAACCTGTGAACATCACCTCCCACAGCAAAAGAGACTGCAGATGTGACTCCATGTAGGATTCCAAGATGACAGCGTCTCCTGGACTCTCGAGGTGGTCCCGATGCCATCACAAGGATCCACAGGAGATGAAGACAAAGGGGGATCTGATCACAGAAGGCAGTGGCAATGGGACAACAGAAGCCAGACGCTAGCTGCGGCCTTTGAAGATGGAGGAAGAGGCCAGAGAGCCAAGAACTGTGAGGAATGCAGCTCGAGAAGGTGGAGAAGGTGAGGAAATGGATCCTCCCCAGAGTCCCGGAGGGAGTCCGGCCCTGCCAGCACCGCGACTCTAGCCCAGTGGAAGCAATTGCAGACTCGGAGCTCCAGAATTCAAGAGAATAAACCTGTGTTGTTAAAGGCCACTCACTCTGTGGTAATTTGTTACAGGCCCAATGGGCAGCGAGGCTAAATTCTTGCTCTGGCCCCAAACCCGGAGCGTGTGCGGGGGCCGCGGAGGCTAGCCGAACAGCCCTCCCTCCACCTCCATCAGCCTTCACAGACACGAGCAGTTCTGACAGCTGTACCATGTGGGGACCCTTGGTGTCCTCCCTCCACAGCTGATGTAGCCGAGACACAGAGATGAAGGCCTGCTGGAGGTCATGAGCCAGCGGCCGGGAGCCAGGATGGCACCAGGGAGTGTGACCTCCAGCGCCCACCGCCTCTCAGGAGGAAAGGGGGCAGAGCAGGCCCATACCGAGATGACAGCCAGCTGAGGGGCACCCTGCTCCCCTCTGCAGGAGGGACCCTTGCCCCAGCCTGCAAGGCGGGAGGGGCCGGGCCTCCCCTGAAGTTCTGCAGGCACCAAGGGCAGAGGCTCCCTCAGCTCGGAGGACAAGCGTGTGTGAGTGTGAGTGAGTGAACGTGTTGCTCAGTGAAAAGCACGGGGCAGGGGCGCCTGGGTGGCTCAGTTGGTTAAGCGACTGCCTTCAGCTCGGGTCATGTTCCTGGAGTCCCGGGATCGAGTCCCACATTGGGCTCCCTGCTCGGCAGGAAGTCTGCTTCTCCTGCTGACTTCTCTTCTCTCATGCTCTCTTTCTTTCATTGTCTCTCTCTGCCTCTCAAATAAATAAAAAAAAAAATTTAAAAAAAAAAAAAAAAAAAGAAAAGCACGGGGCACGCCAACGTCCAAGGGGACCAAGGGCCTGACCGTGGACTCTCGAACCTCTGGCCTCACATAGGCCGAAAGCAGCACTCTCCATTGCAAACTCTCACTTCACGAACTCTCCCTTACGCTATTACTGCATGTTTTCCTTCTGGATGCTGTCTTGCAAGAATTGGCATGACTGAGCACCCACTTCCGCCTCCAGGAGACTAGCGCTGTGGGCATCACACAGGTGCAGGCCTTGCATTTTATTCCCACACCAGAGCCAGTTACCCGGGTAGTTGGATCCCGGCATGTTCTGTGAGCCCAGCAATGAGTGTGACCCAATTTAGGTCAGGACCTCATTCCAAAGAGCTTCCTCACTGACCACTTACTTCCTGCCCCCTTCTGCTCTGTCTGCTCCTCAGTGCCTAGAATCTGCAGGCAGGAGGGAGGCCATGTGGTAAAACCGAGCCTCCCAACCCTCCTGGGCCAGACAGCCTGTCCGCCTGCATGGGGCTCAGAGCTGCAGCAGAAACAGAGCACCCTCCCATCTCCCAGCCAGCACCGAGGCATATGGCAGCTCTCTGGGCGAGGTGAGGAGAGCCAGGCCCTGGTCAGCAGGAGGCTGGGAGCGCCCCTTAACTGCCTGGAGGCTGGCGTGTGGACATAAGGCCCAAGAGAGAACAGCACCCCTGCCCCAGGGTTACCCCAGGCAAGGGCAGGGGGCTGGAGGGCGCTCACGCATGGCGGGAGGGGGCTGCACAGCCTCCTGTCACCCAGCCAGTGAACAGCATGGGTTCTGAGCTGGGGCAGGCAGGAAACCACCTCCCAGGGGAAGTCTTCCCGAATGAAATGGATCCAATCTGCACAACCCTTCCCTCTCTAGCCTCAGGGGCCACACTGCTCAAGGGCCTGTTTTCAATTAAAAATGGGTCACTGTTGGGGTAATCCCCCCCAAAACACAATTTTATTATGAAAATTTCCAAACCTGGCAGCCAAGTTGAGAGGATCGTACAGTGAACGTCTGCGTACTTGCCACCCACATTCCACTGTTAGCAGGTTATCACATACCCACCCACCCCTCTGTCTCCCCATCAGTAGTTTCCAAAATGGATTTCAAAGCGAGCTGCAGAGGTGAGTGCTTCTGGGGTAGGTTTCTAATACAGCTCTGGTGCTCTCCAGCAGCTTGTACATCACACCTTCCCATAAAGCAAACACACAAAGAGCAAAAGGCACGGTTAGTGCTGTCTTTACAAGCAGCAAGATGGTACCCAGGCCGGAGACCCTGCTTTGCTTCAGAAAGTAAGGGCTGTTTCCCTCCCCGCTCTGTGTGTGGCAGCAATACACTAGCCAAATACAACCTGACCTCGTATTCTGAAGTGCCTCTTCTGGAGAAGAGGTAGGGTATTATTTTGTTGAAGACTTAGGTTTCGTGTGAGATGTATGTGTGTGTGCAGAAGGCAGAACTTGTCCCCCACGGTGCCTGGGCATGGAAGTGATGGCATCTGCTTGCTGAGAAGGTCAGCAAGGGTACCCACTGCTCTGAACTCTCCCCCGTGATCCCAGATCAGCCATAAGCCTGGCCACGCTGGGTGCGTCTGATACCTTGCGGGTGCAAGAGCTCCCAAGCCCAACCAGAGGTCAGTGAAGCAGAGTGTGCCCCAGACCCAGGCTCAAGCAGAGAGAGTCGGGGATCAAGGGCAGGAAAGGGACAGAACTCACCACCAGAGACATGAGCCACTGCAGGAAGCTTCCCACAACACCTGAGTAGCCAACATCGACGAGAAACAGTGTGCAAGCCCCCTGCAGGGCGGACAGAGCGCAGACAGCCCCGGGCCCCTCCAGTGCAGTAAGCAAGCAACTGGGGAGCTGCCGAGGGGCTGTGGGACAACAGAAAACCCTTCTCCATGCAGCTTTGGGCCTCAAATATTTGACGACTCTGAAGTCAAGTCCCAAGAAGCCAAACCAGGGAAACGGCGGCTCCTGGCCTGGTGTCATGGCTGAAGCCTCAGGAGGGCTTTTCTTCAGCGGCCTGTTGGCTCCCCTGTTCGCCCCAGTTCAGGCTGTGAAGCAGTTCTTTGACTCTCGAAGACAGCCTGAAGCAGCTACGGCACAGATGTGGCGTATGCTGCCGCGTCCTCGTTCCCGCCTATGGCCGACCTTGGCTTGGCATCCCCCCAGCACAGTACTCCAAGCAGGTTCTACCAGCTGTGGGGCCAGCCCACGAGATACAGCTAGGGGCAGTCGTGGTTTAAAGCTTCCAAGTCTCCTTTAAAAAGCGTGACCCATACAGGTCTTCCAAAACTAGGCTGGTCCGGTTACACTTCAACCTGACCCAAATGTCTCAGAGCCTGCAGCTGGGCCTCAACCTGCCTGTCCCGCAAGCTGCGTGCACGGAGATCCCCCGCATCTTCCGGTCGGCCCTTAGCCTCTCCTAATGCCCTAGTAGGAAAGGAACACATTAGTAAAGTAACAAGGGCCATTTGGCCTCGTCCCAAGGATCAATAACCTACCAATCACCAGTAAAACTAAATGGGGGACTGGGGACTTGATCCTGGCCAACACCACCCAGAGGGCCTACGCAAGGACTCTTCAGCAGAACACAGCTCGTTCATAATGCTGCCCCCAGCGCCTTGGCAGACTGAGCTGAATTTAATGATGCCCGTTTCATACTGTGCAGACATAAAAATATTTTCACTGCACAAAGGTAGGGATATTGAAGGGCATGTGAAAGCACTCTGCAAGCTGGGGCTTGCTCCACGTGCAAGTTATTAGTACTACCTTCGTTAGAATGATTGATAGCTAAATGGACAGGAAGTTGTAAATGTGTCTATTTATACAGAATTTCAGCTCCACAGAATTCAACAGCTTTCCATCAGCACAACGGTGCTTGTGTGGGCTGTGGGCCAAGACACGGCCCCTTCCCTCCCTTTATAAAACAGAATGCCGACTGTTAAGAGGAAGGGGTGCCCTCGGGGCAGGCTGGGGAGGAGCTGCTAGAAGAGAGAGGGGCACCAGGGCCTGGAAGCCAAAAGGGACATGAGGGGAAGGTCTGGCAAGGGCAAGAGATCAAGAAGGGCAAATCCCAAGTGGCTGCCGGGTCTGGGCACAGTCCGGAGGGCGGAGGGCAGAGTCCAGCCGGTAGAGAGGCGGCTGCAAGCAGGCAGCTCCCACACGTGATCTGGTCATGCAAGGTAAGGAGGAGACGGGGAGGAAGGCAGACAGGATATTCTGAAGATGGGATCTGTCTGCGTACTCTTCTGACTGAAGACAAAGAATCAGAAGAGAGAAGACTTGGAGGGAAACAGAGGGATCGAGGGAATGGCAAGCTCTAAAGAGGAGAGATCACAGCAGAGAGAGATGAGGGAGAAGGGGAGGCCAGCTGAGCGGGGAGGGCTGTGGCCGGAGTGGGATGCTCAAGCTGAGGGGCTACACGGAGCCAAGTTCAAGTCTGTCCTTCACCATTTACTATGTCACCTCAGGCAAGTCCCCAAACCCATCTGAAGATCTGTTTCCTCATGTGTCAATGAGGATAATGTCTTCCTCATGGAAATGATTCCAAGAA